TATCGACAACTGCTCTCTCTCTCTCAGCGCAAACAGATTTGAATGTAGGCTAGAGAGTGACTCGGCGGTCGGCGCGCGCAGCGTGCGTGTGTCTGTGTGTGACAAATGCAGCGCGTGTGAGAGCAAATCGCAACTTCAGTGGTGAAGTTTTTGTCATTTAGGAATAAGACGGCGTCTTCTACTCCCAGCACTTCGCCCACATGATGATATCGCATCGGCATCAGAACCGTTTTCGGAACCGAAACTTAGGAATTTTGCACGGTTCCGGTATTTTTTCAAAAACACAACCGGTTCTGGAAAAGAACCGGTTCTCGGTTCCCAACCCTACTCAATATTGGTAGTATAATAACTGTGTAGTATAATATTGTTAAATAATTATAAGTAATTATTGATGAATAAGTAGGAAAATGCTAAAATAATAACAGCATGGGGAAAATAAATCTTGTAATAATAAACTCGCATTTATGTTATACATTCAGAATTGCGAGAAAAAGGTCAGAATTCTGTCTTTATAGCACACAATTGCGACTTTATTTCACGCAATTCTGTCTTTATAACAAGCGATTGAGGCTTTATTTCACCTAATTCTGTCCTTATAACATGCGATTGAGGCTTTCTTTCACCTAATTCTTTCTCTATAACATGCGATTAAGGCTTTATTTGACCTAATTCTGTCTTTATAAGATGCGATTGAGGCTTTATTTCACCTAATTCTGTCTTTATAACATGCGATTGAGGCTTTATTTCACGCAATTATGTCTTTATAACATGCGATTGAGGCTTATAAGCAATTATGTATTTTATAACATGCGATTGAGGCTTTAGTTTATTTCATGTCTTTATAACATGCGATTGAGGCTTTATTTCACCTAATTCTGTCTTTATAACATGCGATTGAGGCTTTATTTCACCTAATTCTGTCTTTATAACATGCGATTGAGGCTTTATTTCAAGCAATTATCTTTATGCGATTGAGGCTTATTTCAAGCAATTATGTCTTTATAACATGCGATTGAGGCTTTATTTCACGCAATTCTGACTTTATATCTCACAATTCTGAGAAATAAAGTCTGCGAAAAGTAGCCTGTACTCGCAATTGTAAGGAAACAGTCGCAATTATAAAAAAAAAAAAAAAGTTTTATTCTGAAAGCTCTGAAAATAAGAGCTTCGCTCGTGACCATATTTAAATGTATTCTTGGAAGATCAACGATTGTTCACCAACTCTCTAACTAGGCCTATGAATTCTTAATGTGCATGTGCCATCAGCGTTTATCACAGGATCGCGTTTAAAGTCTGTTTAGAGAGAACGGTGTCATCCCCTAATTTAATAACAAATTATCATTTCGACAGAATCAAAACTAACTAGCTGTAAAATAACATTATTCATGAACCGCTATAAAGCAAAAACAATGTTACATTAAATTAAAGCTGCTTTGAAACCATCTAAATTGTTAAAAGCGATAGCCTATATAAATCAAGATGACTTGACTTGACTAGTGCGCATGCGCGCGTTACAGGGTCCAACACGTATTGGACCGTCCAGCTACGTCATCGTGCTACAGACTGCAGTGAGGACCTCTTGAACCGCGCCGCGGCCAGCGTCGACAAAGCAGCTAGTGAGGAGATGTATGATCATTTAAACGGATTTTATGAGGTCAGTGCGGATGGGAAAAAAAAAATCTCACATTTCTGCGCAAACTGGCCGTCGATAAAATAATTGTTGTCTGTGGTTGTATGGGCTGTGACAATAACAGCCTAATAAAAAAAAGCTCATAACACGGAAAAAAGAACTATAAATTAACTAGTTTTTTGAAGTATGAGCTATGAACTGAACCAATTCATTTTAAAATGTGTGAACTGAACTTTGAACTAGTTCGTGTAGAAAGTGAAATTTACCAACACAGAGAGTTACGCTATCCGTGAGTGTGCGCCATTTCGCGCTATCACGTTTACTGCTATGCACTGTCGGGACGGGAAAATGCATCTGCAACATAACTGTCTGGAAGAAGGCCCCTCTCCAACTCCAGCTGCTGCTGTTGTTCCCAGGTTGAAAAACTGGGTGGGATGGTTATGTTTTAGGTGCGATTTTAAGTTTGTTGTGTTGCCTCGTCGCGTTGCTACTGTTTTAAAACACAGTCGATACCCGCTCGTTCACGTTTATCTCTCCACTCTTGTTCGGCTTAAAAGCAAAATGTTCCCACACCGGAGCTGAAGATTGTGGCTTTGAAATCAATTCCATGTTGGACTCGTTCTTCCTAACGGTCTGGCTCGCTGTAGATGTCACGAGAACACTTTAAAATGCAGTTAGTTGGTTCACGCCTTCTCTTAACCTGCCGGTGTCCGCTCTCTCCCTGTGTGTGTGTGTGTGTGTGTGTGTGTGTGTGTGGTGGACGCGTGCAGACAAGATGACAGAGGCAGCGCGATCAACTATGCTCATGACATTCATTTTATTGTAAAAATGAATCTAATTATTATTCTTTATAGTAAAACAAATTATCTGTTGCAATATATCGCGGCACCAAAAATGATCGCACTGGGTTCCATATATCGTGCGATAAGTCGATATATTGACTATCGCGACAGCTCTAGTCACTGCATTATGATATGAATGACTCCAACACAGTGCGGCACAAAGCGCGTATGCGCATTCCGAGCGCAGAATGATGCGCTTGAAACCACGTGGAGTAACAGCACGCAGCCGAGTATGCACCCTATAGTATGCACGCTGCGCGTCGAGTCCGCTTTGAAAAGTTCAAAGCACAAAGGAAATACATATTGATGGACAGTGTATTAAACAGTATCTATCTATACAATAGTTTATTGAACCTTTTCTTTAAACAGTTTTAAATTTCAGTTACTGTGCGCGTGAAGAACAATAGTGTTCTGACTCTAGTGTTGTGATCTAATCGACAGCGTCCGACACCTGGTAGAAAGTAACACGATTAAGTTACAGCAATAAAGTCCAGCAAGATAATGTTGTTTTATGCGTAAACATAGACCTTTATCTACAGATAAAGTATAATAGTATTAACATTGAATCATCTTGAAGATAGTTTCATCATTTACTGTAACCGAATGCGACGCGCTGTTTGAGTGCTGAATGGAGAATGACTGACAGCCGCGAGAGGGAAAAGTTTACATGATCTTGAATTTAATGACTTAAATATTAATTTCTCTCTCACATAATGGCTTCAGAACACTTATAATAGAGTGCACGAAAACGTTATGGTACTTTAGAATGTTTTTGTGCCTTCTGTGGGGCTTAACAATAACATAATAGTATACGCACAATATCGGATTTGGATCTGCTTCGTCTGATCGATACCCGATCCCGCAAAAATGGCTGGATCGGAGCCGATACCGATCCTGAGTATCGGATCGGGACATCCCTACTAATTTATACCTCTTACCTATACCTAAATTATATTTTATTTATGAATAATTGATTCAAAAGAGAATGCATTTTAAAAACTGAATGACATTTCATTTCAACAGATGCGACGCTGGCTGTGGATTATCTTGCGCTCGCCGCCCTCTAGTGGACAGGAGAGGTACAGCACTGCTCCTCTAAAGGCCTGTTCACACTGGGACGAATTTCGCGCACGATATTCGTCGACGTTTAACGCCTCGTGACTAAACAATGGGCGCCAATGTGAGTGTTCACACCGACGCGAAAAACGCCACGCGTAAAAGCGTCATTTTTTTTAAAAACGCCTCGGGTTTGTTTTTTTGGTTTGACGCACCGCGTCAAAACCTATCCGACCAACGAGATTGGCGGGTTTGCTCATGTGTCTGGTACTTCTGAAGTTACAGTAAAACACAACTTGGGGGTGCTTAAACACAAAACGGTCTTGCCGAGCACACATACGGCAAAGAAGAGATAAGATACCTATGGGCAAGATGAATGTTGAGCTGCTGGTCTAGGAGCATACAGAGCTATATGATGATATTTATATTAGTATTTCTGTAATAATAGTATAGTATAGGGTGACCAATAGTCCTGTTTTCCCGGGACATGTGTAAAACGGTCACTTTGTGCTTTATAGAAATCTGAGTTGAGATAAGAACTGCGCATAGTGTGCATAGTGTCAGTTAGATTTTGACAAGTGAGGAGAGGAGAACTGCTCAGCCGAATCTTTGTATTCTTTCTTTTATTTTATTTTTCTATTGTGACCAGATGTTTGTTTGTATTTTTTTTCTCGCTCGATCCCCATGTATGAGGACGAGTGTAACGTTTGAGTGGTTTTATTAAACGCGGGGAAATACAACAACTCTCGTCTCTCGTGCATCTGTTCATCCGACAACTGCTATGTTTTTATCTCTGGACAACATCTCAACTTTGCGTTACACATGTCCTGTTTCCACATTCAGTCCTGACTGTTTTTAAGTGATGAAAATGTCCTGGTTTTCAAAAAAAAAAAAAAAAAAAAAAAAAACTGCTGGGAAAGATCAGTTCTACAGCAAAATAGAGATGGGCAAACAAGGTGGATGAGGATGAAAACTAAAGATATAAATAGATTTTGTTAGTTCGTTTTTGTAAGTTTGTGAGAGCTATTTTTTGTTACATTTGGAGGCATTTCTTTTAGATATTTATTATTTATATATTTATTTTTCTAATACAGAAGACATTATTTCTATCATTATTTCATTCGGGTTTTTTTTTATCTGTCATAATAAAACATTGAGACATGAATATGATCACCCTAGTATAGTATTCTATTATTATTTCTGTTTTACATTAAGCGCCATCTAATGTCAGGGAATGAATTTGCATGTTCACTCGGCTCATCGTCAGCGAAAAACGCTTGGGTGTGAACACAAAAAACGCGTTGAAAAACGCTGACGAATAACGCGCGCTGATATTTGTCCCGGTGTGTACGGGCCTTAACATGATGTATTGACGTTAAATTAGAATATAATTTGATTTTTGCTAATATTTAAGAAAGGAGTTGTGATGCAGCTAATGTCAGTGTGTGTGTATGTGTGTACGTGATTCACACCAGTCGGTTGGCCTCATCCGCGTGCCGCGAGCCGATGGCCAGGATCTCGGCGCTGCTGTTGAATCTCAGAGACGTCGCCGGCGTCAGCAGGTTTAGGACAGCCTTCAGCGGCTTCGGCTCGTGCTCCAGCAGACAGTCCCGCTGAGAGTAGATGTTCACCACGCCGGCCTGAGAGCTAAGAACACACACATGGGTCAGACACACACACACGGGTCAGACACACACACACACACACGGGTCAAACACACACACACAGGTCACACACACACATACACGAGTCAAACACACACTCAGACTCACCCACAGGCCAGATACGAGCCGTCTCGAGAGAGTGCTAGTGATGTTCCTCTCACACAACCGTCGTCTTCAAACCTCTTCACACACTTACTGCTCTGGACGTCCCAGATGAACACCTCGCCTTCCTCTGACACACACACACAACATGGCAATCAATATTCATCATAACTAGGGGTGGGAATCGTGAGGAGATGTAAATGTGGCAGTAGTTTCCTTTGGCGAGTCGCTGCGGGCCTCTGACTGCGGTCACATGACCCGTCTAACCGGCCGAGGGCCTCTGACTGCGGTCACATGACCCGTCTAACCATCAATCCGACAGAGCGGGACGCTCCAGTGTGTTTCGTTTATCTCCAAAAAAAAATCTTGTCTGGATTCTGGGGTAAACAAACAAAATGCCACTGAGGAGAAAACTGAAGCGGCATGTGATTTGGTGTATTCGTCTCAACTATCCATGCCGTGTCACTCAAACTCTGACACTAAACAACATAGATACTAGGGCTGTTGGAACGAATTCCAAAATTCGAATATAATTCAAATATTTAAAAAAACAATACTATTCGAATGCTGTAGTTACTATTCGAATATTGCTTTTTAGGGCCGGGTATTGAGACAAATTTCACAATTCGATTTCGATTCACAAGCTTTCAATTCGATTCTATTTCGATTACGATTTGATTCGATTCAATATCGATTATTTTGGATATCAGTTATAATAAATGGCAATTTTTCTCAAGGGAATTAAATCTCTTAACTAATGCTGTAAACTATGGGAGACTAGTTGTAGCCTACTAGGCTTCATTAGCCTAATAGGAAGGTAATAATGAATGAATCACTTAAATTACACTTTTATTTATTTTTATAATAAGAAGATTATATGAAATATAAACATTTAAATGGTGGCTGTCATAAAAACTTGCCAGATTTATTCAAATATGAAGGTAATAATGAATGAATCACTTAAATTACACTTTTATTTATTTTTATAATAAGAAGATTACATGAAATATAAACATTTAAATGGTGGCTGTCAAAAACTTGCCAGATTTATTAAAATATGCATTAAATATTGAAGAACTTTAAGATTATAATGCATATGTAATATAGTGTAAATATTTAGCAAAATGCTCCTCTCTGGAGTTATTTTTTTCTATCTGACTAACGAGTTGATGTGGGTCTTCTGAGGTAAATATGACGATACATGACAAGACATTGATTACAAGCTGTTTAACTGACGTCTTTCCACGGTTGAAACGCTGATTGAGCGAATGAATGTGACATGATACGGATTTCGATAAGTTGTACTCTATCTTTTAACACACTTTCAAATGCTCCTTCATGTTTATTTCGCGCTGTGACCGGTATTATTAACCCGGAAGAGAGATCAGCGCTGCTGCTTCTCTGGAGCTGCACCAGAGCGATCTCAGGCCACAGTGCCAAAACGTTATTTATGTTTTTGAATTTCTAAAGAAAATGGACGTAATTTGAAAATTGAGACTTTGTTTCATATCAATAGTAACAAAGGACAAAGATTATTGCGATTTTTTGAATGCGCGCAGCCGCGATACAATGTCCCATTCATTCAAATGAAACAGGATGACTAATCGATTCTTGAGAATTAAGAATCGATATCGGTTCGTAAAAATGAGAATCGATTAATATCGAGAAATCGATATTTATTACCCAGCCCTATTGCTTTTATATATATTTAAAAAATATATATCTATATATGCAATCTTTCTCGCGGCTTAAACGCATTTGAAAATGAAATGCTTTTGTTTCGTCTAATGAACAATAAAGTTTTTGAATCGTAACACAATTGTGCACGTTATCCATCATCTGTTAGGCTATCATCAGGGTTTCCCATACAGACATCCGGGAAGATCCGGGAGTCTCCCGCATATTGATAGCGTCTCCCTGATGCCCGCAAATTAGTTAAAATCTCCCGGAATCTAGAGCGAGAAAGAACATACTGCAGCGCGTGCATGGCAGAGAGGGAGAGAACGAGACCTTGCGAGTGCCGCGCGAAAGCCAGTCCCGCGCGCTCTCTCTCCATTTACAGACTGATCTCACGAAATGGCTCAAAATGCGTATAGATAACATGTCACTTGACTTGAAAGTGGCGTGCATGTTGACGCAAAAGTCCTGATCATGTTGCCCTTTGGAACACCGCTGCACAAATCAGTCCAACACAGCGCTGTCAATGTCGAGAACCAGCTTTAAAAAAAGTTATTAGCCAGCATGCAAGGAGCCTATCTAATAAGGTGAGCTAAGTTATTATTAGACTACAGCTGTAATTTCAAGGTTTGCACGCTGTATAGCTGGTAGTTAATATCGATGAACTTGTGTTTGTTCCGCTTTTTTATTGTTAATAAGAAAGCGATCTAAATGCTCATTGTAGTAATGTTAGATGTCCCTCTAGTGGGCAGAACGTGTAACAACAACCACAGGCTATAGTGGCATTGGCGATCCATAAGAATGTGTAATGTCGTAAATATTAATAATAGAATGAATTTGAGCATTTAATATTCAAATATTATTTGAATATTAGATAAAATATGGAATGGAATTCGATTAGTATTATAGAGGAATATTGACAGCCCTAATAGATACAGACTATTTCAGACTGTTAATCACGTCAATAAGTACTCTGGGACCCAAAAGTCAAACCCAAAGGTGTATTTGGGGGACACATTAATACAGTAGGTAGAAAACCAGAACGTGGTAGAAAACCGCAGTTCTGCCGCGGCGGTAAAATTTTAGATGTATTTGCTCCCTTTTGCCGCTAAGAGGCGCTACAATCACAGGCTTTGAAAAGTGTCCATTTTTTGTGTAATCTACAGCTGCGCCGTGACTCATTCAGAGCGTTTTAAAGTTGGTAGCAGATTAATTCAAGTGAAACGTAGTTAAATTAATTAATTAATCACAATACTGAAATTAAATTGAAAAAAGTAATGAAACCTTAAAACATTGCAGTAGAAACATATTAGGCTACATCAATGAGGCTTTACAAACGTTTGACAATGATGAATTAGCAGTCTAACGGTAGCTCTGTGGTTAAAGCATCATCCTCCTCAATCTCATGGAACTCCAAACGACACGAGATCGAACATCACATGCTGTTGGCCGACAGCTTTTATGTTTTACCGTTCTTGAAGCTTAAATAGGTAGCTGTTTATTAGCGAGTTTATTAACTGTTTATTTATTTGAAGTGTCCGACATAATTTGCCTCTTCTCATTGAGAGCTGAGTCCGCAGATAAATTCAAGGTTAACATTGTAGCCGCTGTACTTGGGGATAGGGCTTAACCAATATTGCGATTGCGATTTAATATGCGATTTAAAAAAAAAAGTTATTTACCTTCTGTATTAGTCGACAAAGACAAGCAATAAATATTGTACAGTAGGGATGGGAATCTTTAGATAGCTCATGATCCGATCTACTTTTTTTCTTATTAATTAATCTTAATAACTCATAAAATATGTATTTAATTACATGTGTAAAAACACATACTTTAAAAAATAAATATAAAAAAACATTTAATTAAACCAATTACATGTTAAGAATTTTAAATAGGCTATATAAAATAATATAGCTTCAAAATATAAAAGCTAGTAAATAAAGAGAAACAAAAAAAAAAACATTACAAGCAATAAACAAAGACTGGTCTCAGTATTTAAAAGTAGGCTGTCTGAATGTTTTTCATTCAAGAGCTGGAGTGATTTCCCCTCAGTTTAGATACGATAAGCTGCATTCACACTAACGCATATATCGATTTTGAAATTGTAAATGTGGTTTGTCCTGTTGGTTTAAGATATAACTGACCGTGTTTACATCAATTTCGCGTCATAAAAGCATTTTGACATGCAAGTACATTTACCAATGAGTCGCTCACGGCCGCATGCACGAGCGCTCTTCACAAAGCACGCGTTAGTATTTTAAAATGAAAGCAGCCTTCTCAGTGATTTTCATGGTTTTAATATAAGCCAACTGCATTCCAAAATACATAAATAATGCCTCTGTGAAGCATTTGTAAAGAAAATACCCGCGGGAGAGAACGCGCACTGCAAGTGTAACGTTATAACATCAAGCAAAGCGGCAAAACCTGTTCAATGAAGCCCGCGAATGTCCTTGAAATTTGGTTCAACCCCGACCTTTATAAAATAACGTTACTATGTTTTGGAAGGTTCGAGCGGTGTCGTGTGTGTGAGTGAGGAAGAGAGAGAGCGAGAAAATAGAAGCAAGCAGATTCAGAACACGGTTCGTTTCTAAAGCACGCGCAGCGTCATCATGCATCTGTGTTTAAAAACTAAGCTCATACTCGATTCTGAAATTCTCTGAATCAATCCAGGATTGTTGAGGAGAGGAGAGAATAAATAACACAATAAACTGCTCTTTTCTGGACGCCAGACCGCGTAGCGTGGCAAGTTGATGCTTTATCTTGCAGACTGCTTTTCTCAACGTGTCAAGTGACCAGTGTAATCGCAGCTCTTGCGATTACAAAATCGCGTTTCATCATATCGCGATTTTATCGCAAATGCAATTAATCGTTCAGCCCTACTTGGGGACAGGTGGGACATGTCCCCACCTTTTTTTTGCCAGGGTCGATATTGTCCCCACCACTTTTGAAATCTTGCGGCACGGATGTAGCTACCAATACAAATAAAACATCTACAGTTAGCTAACAACATTCGTTTGTTAAATAAGAGGCGATCTAGCGCTGAAATGTGTTGTCTTCACTCGGACGCGCGCAGCAATCCGTTGTGGTTTCATTCGTTCCGGTGAAATCACAAATCAAAATGCACACAAACGTGTCCTTGCTTCTCTGGGTTCTAATCCGCACTCGTACAGTTTTTATTTTACCCTCATCAAAACAGAGAATGTTTTTCAGTGGTTGTATATCAATACACATACGGTTTTGATGAGGGGAAAAAAAAAACTATAGGAGTGCGGAATAGAACCCAGAACCTCCGACACGCTAGGCAAAAACACTTCCACTGGACCATCACTGCACATACTAGGGGTTGAACCGACTAGTCGATTAGTCGACCTTAATGCAATGCCGTGACGCTTTAAGCTTGACGTCGACTAGTCGCGTTGATCATGTGACACTATATATGATTGCGCTAAT